TATATATAGCGTACTGGTTAAAAATTGGGCTACTAACTACAAGGTCAGCAGTTCGAAACTACCAGCTGCTCCGCAGGAGAAAGATGAGGGAGGCTTTCTGCTCCCATAAAGATCTGTAGCCTCGGAAACCCTGTGCAGGGTCACTATGAGTCGGAATCGACTCCACGGTACTTAACAACAACAACATATATATACACACACTTCACTGGTTTTGCTCATCTGGGAAAGCCAGACAAAAACAGATGCATACGCTATGACCGTTAAGATCACTGGATCAGTCCTACATTATACCTTTTGACAAAATAAGTTCTGTGGCTCATTTCTCCTAAATGTTTCACTGTTGACAGAAAATTGAATAAATCTACCCTTTTTTCGTGGCAGGAACCCAACTTTTGTATTTTTACTGGCTTAGTATTGACTAAATTTGGGTCCAATTTCTAGGAAATACATGGTAAGTTGAAAATGAACAGCTACTTTACTATGGCTGCCAAAGACAGCCTTAAAAAGGAACTAATGCAATCCAGTTTCAATCTCAGGAGATCTAACAAGACCATAGAAAAATTAATGTACTAAAACTTAGCTTGTATAAAATGTTGTTTATTTGTTACAAAAGAGAAAAGTTCTTGAAACTGAAAAATCTAAGGACGTTAACGTGTCAGTTAAAATCAGTGAAAACACATCCCGTTACATCAGTTCCTCAATGTGGAGGTTTTTGGAGCACTTACCCAAGTCTTCCTAACATCTCAAGCTCAGGAACTTGTGGTCCACATGACTCTATATGCAGTGGTTGGTATTCATACAGAGCTTCTTCAAGCTTTTGAATAGGTGCTAATGAAATATGTTGACTCTGGTACAAAATGAAGGAGAAAATATTTTTAATATTTCAGATTGATACATTATTTATGGTCATTTAAAATATGAACTGTATATTTTCCACCGTAATATTTTCCTCACAGTAAAAATATTATCCATTGTGTCTACTGTTCCATGTAGACATTACATTACTGAAATCCAGTTTATAAACTTAACATATGGATATTGGCACATGATTTTTAAAAGAAGGAAATCCCAATCCATCATTAAACTCAAATTAAGCTTTAAACAGTACAAGTTTAATGTGAATGGTATAATTAAGAAGCATTATCCATCCTCAATTTTCCTATTTTTATTATACAGCTTTAATAATTTTATTAGTATTTTGTTGAAAGCCATAATGAGGGAGTCCGGATGTGGCGCTGTAGGGTCAGTACTACACTGCGAACTACAAGGTCAGCAGTTCAAACCTACCAGCTGCTCCTTAGAAACCTTATACAGGGTCTCTGTAAGTTGGAACCAACTTGACTACACTTAACAACAACATAATGAGGGAGAGAAGCTAATGAAATTCTTCTCTGCAAAGTTTTGTCAAAAAAATCTTAGACATTCAAGTCTTTACAGTGAGATGAAATTTACTTAACAAATGAGTATATAATGTTAAATATACTTGTAAATACACAGTATAAGAATTCTATGCTAAAATCAAATAAGTTGAATGAAGATATCTAAGTATTTTCTGGGAAGAAACAATTACTGGATAAGTAAAATAAATGAATCTAAAGACCATACTTGACCATAGCTATACAAATTTAATGTGCCTGTTTTACAAGTTTTTTCAAACCACGCCTCTCTTCATGCATTAGTTTCCTAGGCAAATTATATGCACAAACATGGTAGGCCATTTTTACCATTCTAACCCCAGTACTGTTATTTTTCTTGGTATATTTCATGTAGACGTTTTTCTATTTTCAAACTTTTTATCAGTTCTTGCAGTTACTAATTATATTTTTCAAGTTTATAGTTAGTTATTACTTTCTTTAATTTTCCTTTGCTTTCTCCTCCTAAATTATGAAGCTGGATATTTGTATGTTTGATATTTCTGGTATTAAAAAGAAAAGAAGTTAAACTGTGACTTAAAATGATAAAAGTATAGTTGTAACAAGCAGTGAGGCACAAGGAATACAGCCATTGAAGATAACTACACCCGACTCATGGTTTGTCTGTACAGTGAGTTCAGTCTTATGTAACATTATCCTAGCTAATTTAATAGTCATTTTAATCGCATCTCTGCACTGTGACTTCATCTTCTCTTTTTTAGTGACCTTCACCTACACTTCAAAAAACTGTTCATTATCACATTTGGACTATAATATCTAGAGAAGTACTTTCCTTCTAAATTCTTGAATTCTAAATTCTATTCTAATCACTAAATTCTAGATTCCCACTAAACATAGGCCCTAATCTTTGACCACCATGGATCCTAATCAATAAGTCCTCTCCAGCATCATTTCTTACCTTGCCTGTATTTCAAAGACAAAGTTCAGAAAGGCTGGGAAGGAGGGTCGACTGGAAATACAAATCATAGGGAGGAAGCAGGATAACTGAAAATATATGGAACCAATTCAATGGCACTTAACAAAATCAACAATAGAAGGTGTTAGCATTGCTACATGTAGTTAGAAAAAAACACTGTTCTTATAGTGTTCAACCACTTAAATTATAGTGACTATTTCCAGAGACAAAAGTTACAGGAAGTCTTGAAAATCAATTGAGATCATTTTGAAATACTATTTCAGTTTGGTAGATGTCCTAATAATTTAAATGTGTATGTGCATAAGGGTTTTGTGTGTGTATAAATGGCACACACATACTATTCCAGTTTGTGCATGTGTGTGTGTGTATATATCTGGTAGCATAGTGGTTACGAATTGGACTGCTAATCTCACAGTCAGCAGTTCAAAACTACCAGCTGATCCACGGGAGAAAGATGAGGCTGTCTGCTTCCGTAAAGATTTGCAGCCTCAGAAACCCTGTGCAGAGTTGCTATGAGTCGGAACCAACTCCACAGTATATAACAACAACATATGGATGTGGCTCCATATAAACTCACATGTGTATATGTACATAAACACCCTCAAATTTTAATGAGGTAGAGAATACTCAAAGAATACATCAGGCATTGTCTTAGAACGGCTCATTCTGAGTAACATTTCTTTAGTAATTCAGTGGTTTTTGCAGTTATTTTCGGAACAAGCAGAGCAATTTTTATACTATGCTGATCCGATTACTCCAGGGTTTTGTCAGACTACCTTCGCTGCAACAGTTGCACGTGATTAACTTCCTGACAGCACATTATTGCGTGGCAAGTACAAGTTACTCCCTCTCCCCGTAATCCCCCTCATAGAAACGGATTTCTCTAATTTCTTTGAAATATTACAGTAAACAACAAAATGACAAAATAACATTGCATGATAAGACATACCAATGAATTTATCCTGGCACTGGCTTTAAGCTATAACAAATGAAGGAAAAACATTTATTTTTTCTAAGCTTTGTTTCCATCATACAAAATGGGCAGGAGGCAGACAAGAAGATCTTCTAGGTTAATCAACTATGATTACATAACTACTAACTAGAAACAATTTAATTCTATATATACTTTGAAAACAACCAATAGAAAAAAACAAACATTAATCTGGTGGGTTTGAACTGTCGACCTTGTGGTTCCCATTGGGCTGCAAACCACAAGGTTGGCAGTTTCAACCCACCAGTTGCTCTTTGGAAACCATATGCAGGATTGCTATGCGTGTGAGTTGACTTGATGGCACTAATAATAGCTATCTCCAGATTACCAACTCTATCAGACAATCAGACTACCTTTCCTTTCTGCGTGCATATTTTAAAATGAGCAAAACTTTAAAAAAACATTATGATGCTTAACTCTTTTAAGTATTTTAATGCTCATTTAGCAGAATATGGAAGGGAAACTGTCAGAAAGCCAAATTCAGAACAGAACATGAAAGACGGGATATCACTGCTCATGTCATAAGGATCTTGTCTGAAACCAGAGAACGCAAGAATGAGGTTTACCTGTTTTATTCACTATGCAAAGGCATGTGACATTGTGGATCATAAATGATTGTAAAAAATTAGAATTTCAGAACACTTTATCCTGAGGAATCTATACATAAAGAAGCATCCATTCAAATAAAACAAGAGGATACTGCATGATTAAGAAAGTAAGTGTGCATCAGGGTTGGAGCCTTTTACTAAACTTAAATTCAAGCTGCAGGCTGAGCAAATAACCCAAGAAGCTTGACTATATGAAGAAGTACTTGGAATCAGGATTGGAAGAAGACTCATTCACAAACTGTGATATGCAGATGTTACAACCTTGACTGCTGAAAGCAAGGAGGGCTTAAAGTAATTACTGATGGAGATCAGAGACTACTATCTTTATTATGGAATACACTTCAACATAAAGAAAGCAAAACTCCTCACAACTGAAACAAAAAAGTAACATCATTGACAAAAAGAGAAAAAAAATGAAGATACCAAGGATTTCAGATTACTTGGATCCATAATCAACACCCAAGGAAGCAGTAGTCAAGAAATTGAAGGCTCACTGCATTGGTCAAATTACTACCAACGACTATTTGAACCAATAAGCAACATCATTAACAAAAACAGAAAAGATTGAAGATATCAAGGATTTCGTTTTACTTAGATCCATAATCAACACCCAAGGAAGCAGTAAAGAAATCAAAGGCTCATTGCATTGGTCAAATTACTACCAAAGACTATTTAAAGGTTGTCACTTGAGGATTCAAATGTACCTGACCCAAGTCATGGTGTTTTCAATTTCCTCGGATGCATGCAAAAACTGTACAAATGAATAAGAAAGAGTGAAAAGAAATGATGCATGTGAATTAGGGTGTTGGTGAAGAATATTGACTATATCACAGACTAGGCAAAGGTATATGACAGTGTGAATCATAATGACACTGCCAAAACAAACAAACAAATCTACTTTCGGAGATATATAACCAGAATGTTTCTTAGAAGTGAGGATAGCAAGACCTCTAATCATATAATTTATAGACACAATATAAGGAGGGACAGTTCCTAGAAAAGGAAATCATGTTTGGTGAAGAATAGGGTTAGAGAAGAGGAGGAATATCCTCAACAAAATGGACTCACAAAGTAGCTGCCATAATAGGCTCAAACAACAGCAACTGTGAGGGTGGCACCGGACTGTGCAATGACTCAGAACTGACTACACAACACGTACCAACAACGCTGACATGCTCCCATAAGTCAGCTTTTACAAGCACTCATTGCCCTTACTCTTTAAAATGTAATGTGGCACTGTAGGATGAGCACTAGATGGCTAACTACACAGTCAGCAGTTCAAATTCACCAGCTATATATTGGTTCCTTGGAAACCAATATACAGGGTCACCGTTGAGTAAAAAATGGCTCATTGGAACTTAACAACGATAGTTATTTAAAGAGCTCTAATAACACAGTAGTTATGTGTTCAGCTGCTAACTGAAAATCTTTGATCCAAACCCACCAAACACTCTGCATCAGTCAAGTGTGGTAATCAGCTACCATAAAGATTGTTCTTATTGTTGTTGTTAGTTGCCATCAAGTCCCTTCAGCCTCATAGCACCTGATGTACAACAAAACAAGACATCCTATGTCTACCTCAGTCACGGCTCTATTTGAGCCATTGTTGCAACTATCTTCTGAAATGCTTGAACACGCACCAATTCTTTTGAGTATAGTGACTCTGCCTATTCTTTCCACCTTCTTTTGATACTTTCTCCAGCCTTCAATATTTTGGCCCATAAAATCCTTTAATATTGAAAGCTGAGACTTGACACATTTCTTTACTTCTTTCAGCTTGAGAAATGCCAAGTATATTCTTCCCTTTGATTTTCTGACTCTAGATCTTTGAACATTTCATTATAAAACTTTAGTCTTCACAAACTGCCCTTTGAAATCTTCTGCTGAACTCTTTTACTT